AATGTACAAATGTGCTTTACACAATTGATGTGTGTATGGATTGTGATAAGAGTTGTATGAGCCCCTAATAAAATGATTTTTTTAAAAAAGAATTTGTGAAATCAAGGAGTGCATGTCCTTGGCCAAGGCTACTCTGTTTTACATGAAGGAGCTGGCAACCGAAGCCACTCTCAGGATGAACCTTGTTTCCTACATTGTTTCCTTTGCCTTTCTTTTCTCTGTTTTAAACCTCTCCTTCTCTCCTTCTTTAACCTTTTCTTTTTTGGCAAGTAGAAGTTCTGTAGGAGAAGAGAGGCAGAAAGCAGCTGCCTAAGAATTATTGGACGCTAGCAAAATGGTCACAGGGGCCTGGTGGTGTAGTGGGTGACTTCTTGGGTTGCTAACCGGAAGATCAATAGTTCAAAAACACCAGCCCTGGGAGATAAAGGAAACGTTCTATTCTAACTCCTAAAGAGGTACATGCTTGGAAACTCGCAGGGGGAGTTCTACTCTGTCCAATGAGGTTGCTGTGAATTGTAACAGACGCAACAGCCGTGGGGGTTTGGGAGCAAAACTGTCCCAACAGCAGTATTGCTGGTCCCTGAGAATGCACAGCAGCATGTGGTAACTGTGCATATGTCCGAGCACATCTGAGCTCCTTAGGGTTTCAAGAGCTAATTTTGGAGCAAGGAGGTTTCTTCTGAGGCACTGCTGGGTGGACTCCACCCTCCAAACGTTTAGTAATTGGGGTGCATTAACTGCGCCGCCCAGGAACCCAATAATTTCCGTGTCTTCACCTCTAAATATTTGGCATAGACTGGGTTTTCCAAAGCCAAAGACAAGGTAGAACTATGGGTTGGATGCAAAGCAAAACCAAGGCTTTACACAGACACACTATACACACACACACTCACACACAATGTTTTCCAACTGAAGCTGTTCTTTTCCCAAACTCACTCGTCTCAAACTTCTTTTCTTTCCGCTAGGCAAACCATTTCCGTTTCATTTTGAAAATGAAGTCTGCAAGCAAGATTACTTCATTAAATCACCGCCCCCTGCACTTTTCTTCTCTGCGGTGCGTATTTGCCACCCTCTAAGGAGCCCCCACCCACCATGCACCTGGTATTTGTCCTTCCCCTTCACACCCCCATGCCCACCCCACCCCCGTCCCCCACTCTCCCACCCCCGAGATTTAACTGAGATGCAAAACCTTTGCCTTTTTTTCAGGGCTCTTGGAAAAAGCGATTTTTTGTCCTGTCAAAGCGCAGGGAATCGGGCTTTACTCTTTTCTATTACAAAGACCATCAGCAACGAGGGGCCATTGAACTTGACCAGTACGTATCCCCTGGAAACGTGTTCCTAGTAACCCTAGGGAACAAGGCAGGGAGGGGCATGTCCGGACCAGCTGGAATTTAGATCAGTGATGGAAGAAACCACAGGCTTTCCCCTTATTGCAATACATGCTACCCACAGGCAACTGAGTTCCCAAACACTGTGAAGAGTGTGTACTTTTATTTCATATTCCATATTCCAGCTCCTAAAAGTGAAGCAGATAAGCATCCTGCTAGGGAAGTCTTGATTCACTTCCTTTACTTTCCATTGTGACTGAGGGAGAAGGCACATGATGATTTCAGGAAGCCAACATAGGTTTCTTCATTTGAAAATATTTTTTCTCTTTAAGAGATGATGAAGCCCAAAACATAAGATGCAAAAGCAATCATTTGTGGAACCAAGAATCAGGCTAACATAGACATGCTTGAATTAAAATCTAAGCTATGTAGATTTTCTTGAAAGTCTTTTCAATCCGTGAGTCAACCAGAGTCAAACGTCTTTTCTAAAACTGTGCGACCATCCTTCCTCAAAGGATTCATCGAGCAGCTCTTATGTTTTGTTCAGTTTGAATCCTCCTGTAAACCGTCCTATCCAGTTCGTCCCCATTTTGTGTTTGCAATGGCTTACCACTTCACGTGAACCTCCAACAGAAACTCCAGTGTCGAGGTTGGCATAAGTAGCCATGAAAAAATGCAAGCTGTCCAGAAGATGTTTAAATGCCACCCTGAGGAGGTGATGTCCATCCGAACCGCCAGCAGGGACTACTTCCTCATCGCCCATAACAGGTGAGGAGCAAACTACGACGGAGTGTGGGCACAGGAGTCCAGATTTATAAACCAACCCTTTACACAAACGCAACTGTCAACCTGGTCCCAACAACATGAACCATGGCCACACCTGAGCCACCTGGGCAATCTCCACGATCTATTCCAATACCCTGAAAAGTTACCACTCCCCAGGTGAGAGAACCCAAGATCCCCACCTTCCCAGGGCACTAAAAAGAACTTTTCTCAGCCCCCTCCCCCTCAGCCAGAGAGACACAGACAAGGGACGTCTATTAGGGAGGGGTTATGCCCGTCTTAGAAAAAGCGTCCGATTTTTAAGAGAGGCTTCTGCCCTCAAAGGTGCCCGGTGGACTCTTGAAAGGTGATTGATTGTCTGCTTGACAAAGCAGGGTTGGGGCGGGGCGGGGGCGGGGGCGGAGGGGGCGGGCGCACGGGGGCTGCTCAGAGGCAGCCGCTAATGTTGAATCCAGGATGAAGTGGGGGAGTGCCTTGATCGGTTCAGATCACTCAGAACACACACAAGGCTTTCTTTAATTTGCCATCTGAGTCAACATGGGGGGAAAAAGAAAAGATTTGTGTGCATTCAGTTCAAGTACATTCTTCCTCAATGCTGGCATTACCTCAGAGGTAGCACACCTGGATAGCAACACAGAAATGCTGCTGTCAGGATAAAGGGCTGGGGGGTAGTGGAAGGGGGGTGTTGAAACCTGCTTAAAGAAATCAGTGTCCAAACTCCGAGCCCCAAACCCTGTGATTACTACTCTGATTTTCTCCTTTCCTTCCCATTTTTCTGTGCTTTCCTCGCGGAGGGAGGCGGCCTGAGGGTTAATTCTAGTCTGCAAGTGGGGAGGTGGGGGAAGCGGGGGTCACACCAGCGACTCAGAGAAAATAAAACTCCTATTTCCCTGGTACCTGCTCCCACTGCCTACTCAAAGCTTCATAAAAGAACCCGTTGCTGGTTCAAAAGGAGTGCGGGTGCTATTGTTGGTGCTGCCGGCTCAAGGTCTGTTCCTGTTCACAGGGAGAAGATTGAAGACTGGGTCTCTGCCATGTCCTCGCTCTGCTGGAACAGGCCCGCAGCGCACCTGAGGACGGAGGTCACTCTCCATCTCGGCCACACTACCAGGGCGGACACCACTCTCTTCCTCAGACAAACAATGGTCGCTTCCCCCCACCCCCGCCCCCGTTAGCAGCTGGCATTAATATGAGGAATAAATCAGTGAAAGAACGTACATGCTTATTATTTTTATGATGAACAGTTGGGGAAGAAAAAAAATCCCAAACACTTGTGCTTTGAGAGAGAACTAAAATACAGACATGGCCACTTTAGATTGATTGGCCTGTGTAGGAAGTGAGACTTTTCAATGTTTATATATATAGTTGAAACGATGTATTTTTCATCGCTGCTGCTCAAGGTGAAGTTTTAAGACTTATGATCAAGGCTAAGGGACCCTGGTGGTAGAGTGGCTATGCCTTGGACCGCCATCCACAGGGTCACTGTGAGGCAACATTGACTCGATGGCAGTGTTTTGTTGTTTCTTCTCTTCCTCTTCTGTTTTTTTTTTTGGGGGGGGCTTATGATTAAGTATAAGTTGTTTTCTGTAAAAATGTTTTCCATCTGTCTGACATTTGTAACAGAATGTCTCTTTAACCGAAATGTGTAAGCTTTAGGCTTCTAATTGACTTCATAAGGGTCCTTGCTAATTGACATGCATTCTTTGTTAGAGCAGACTGTTTATAAATGAAACTTGGTCACTAGGGATGGCTTTGGATATGTTATCTAGTTTGTTCTATGCTTACAACAGAAACGACTGGGCAGGAGTAGAAGGAGGCAGGGGGGTGTCTTTAAGTAGAATTGAATGGCTGGAGCGCAGAGGGAGGAATGGTTAAAAAAGACAGACTGAGTGGAAAATCTGCGTTCTCTGAAGGCTAGGCTGAGCGAGATCGCAAGGGCTTGGTGAGAGACTAAGTCCATTCATGTCTTTGGGGGACTGCGCTGGCGAGAGACTGGTGCCAGGGAGCCTAGAGGGGAGGGCGGTGCCTCATCGCAGTGAGTGATCAGCTGGTCTCTGGCTGAACTGCCATTTTCCATACCAGGAGTGTGTCTCGCAGAATGATAAAGGACCTTCTTCAGACCCCAGTCCGCTCCTTGATGCTGCTAGTACACTGGAGGCTGACAGCTCCGCTTCAAGAGCCCGTCTTCCAAACACGGTAAGGGTCTCTCCCTCTCCCTCTCTCTGCATACCACTCTAGGGCGTCAGCTAATGCTTCAGGATCTTGGCCATTATCAGTTGGCCATCGCCACATTGCCTACCGTCCTGTCTGAGTGCGTCTTAGGTCCACCACTTCCCTATATTTAGTCTGTTTCCCCCGTCACAGGAGAGCCTTACTACTTGTCCCAGCCTGCTTCTGAATGCATCACTCATTCTCCATGCCCCTGGATGTGCATCTGGGTGGACTGGGCGGAGAGCCCTTTGGCTAAATGAAAGTGTGGCTAGCAACCTGTTCCTTCCTTCACGCAAAATACACATGACCTCTGGAAGAAGATCCTCAACACACTAGCTGATTTCCTGCCACACCATCTGTACACTTCGGTGAAAGGCAGAGCTTCCCAGTCGTTTCCTGCATTGACTCTGATCAGTCGGCTGCCTCTTATATAGGTGGAGAAATGGATTCCACTTGGGGGAGTAGATTCAATACTGCATGTGGGTGTGCTTTGTACTGTACCCTCGACTTTCTTGGATTGGCTTTCTCTCTAATTTGGACGTCGTTCATTCGTGGACTGAGTTTGGGGCGCTTGTTGGTTGTTCCACCTGCAGAGGTGCTATTGCAGCCCTTCCAGACACAGCCCTACACTTGCCCCTCTGCTTGAGTACCAAGCACAGCCTCCTGGTTTGTTGAGTTGACAGAGCACCCAACAATTTTAAAAGCTACCTGTAGCCAATCAAATTCACCAGGTTAAACACCTCATCTCAGTGATCCGTTTAATGAGTTCCAAAGGTGGCCAGAAGATGAGATGGGAAACTCATGCTTTTCAACAAATGCCTCCAGTCTGCCACTCCTGATACGCTCCGCCCCACTGCCCCTGACCAGAGTGAACACTGTTGCTCTTCTTGCCTTTTTACACTCGGTATTTGGATCCAGTGATTGATTTTTCAACCTGCTTGAGTTAAGTTTCTGGACTTTTGTTGCTTGTTGTCAATGAAATTATGTGGTGGCCTACGCAGCATGGCCTGGCTCCCTGAGCTTGGAGCTTGAAATATGATGTAGCTTAAATGCATCCATTTAAAATAATAATGATAAGCTTCTTTTAAGGACTTTCTAGAGAACATGCAGGGTCTTTAAAAGAAAAAGGGAAAACCTACTCTCAGATATTGGAAGAATTAAATTTTACTTATAACAATTTTCCTGCCATGCCACGCAGTTATATTAATGGGGTATCTTCTATCTACTGGGGAAGGGAAGAGAATAATTGGTTGAGCCTAGATCACCTTGAAGCCTATAATTCATGTGGTCACATAACTAGCGCTACCAAATTACATTCCTATGAGAATAATAGAAGTATGTGAGCAGCACACAAAAGAGAAATGTTGAGCAGGAAGGCAGGAAGAGGAAAGACGTATTCCCATGATTACGAGCGAATGACTTTCTCGGGTGGCACTGGGTGCAAGTTGAAACAAGATGGGGGCTGGGAGTGTGAACTCTATGGCAGAATTTAGTGACTTAGAGGGAAAAAACCACTTGTTCCGAGTTATAGCTCCAATGGTAGGGAATCGGGTACTTTGATTTTTTTGCAACAGTGGTGACCCAGGACAGGAGGCAAGTTCAAGTTGTGTGGTTACATCCTTTCAAGGATGTTGACCTTGGAAGATCCTCCGATCCTCCTAGCCTAGCTAATCAGGTGTGACTTTTCCAGAAAGCGTGCGGCTGCATTCTGTCTCCGGCAAAGACAACGAAAAGCGCTGATTCTGTCTTCTCGTTTCTTCAGCATGTCGTGGGAAAAGGTTCTCCAGGAAGAAAGCAAGCTCCTCTTCCACAAGATTTCTCTTCAGAGACCACAGAAGATAAGAAAGAAAAGAATTATTATCTCAGTCCCCGAAATGTCCTTTTAGAGGTAAATCGTTCCGTCCGTTAATTAATTATGCAGTCTTTCAACAAATATCTAGGAAGCCCCTACCAGGTATCTTCCGGAGGCACTTTGCCGAGGTCAGAGGGTCTCACAAGGGAGTCAGACACCGAGGTGTCCTCACGGGGCTGACACATGATTAGGAGACAGCCGTCACACAAGCAAAGGGCTCCGTGCTAGGAGAGACGCTCACATGATTTCAGCAGCAGGAACTAGAAGGGGGCGAGGAGGGGACTGATAACCAGCCAGGGCCACCAGCGAGGAAAAAGCAGGGATGACATTTGACTTCATTTGGATGATTGGCAGAATGTGGCAGAAAGGAAAATATGGGCAAAAGTTCTTAGGGGAACAATGTGCGATACCTATCAGTCAGTCTGATGATGAACTGAAAGCTCTCGCTGAGGGCTTTGTGTGTGCTTGGGACTGTCTGCACTTTACTAGATGTGGCAGCTTCCGTCACGGACCCGGCCTTCAGAGTTCACAGTTTTATTGGAGATCACATGATCATGCTACACAAGAGGCAAGGTCAAAGTTCTCGGCGAGCACTAGAAAAAGGACACATTTCCTTTCTCATTAGGAGGCAGGGAAGACTTAGGAGGAGAAATGGCATTTGAAATGTCCATGGTGCAAGTTCGGTTGGGCTGGCAATGGAAAGCAAAATAAAAAAGAGCCAAACCATGCCGGGCCCTGAATACTCAACTGATTTCATTTTATTGGCAACATCAACCAAAACCCAACTCCCTGCCATTGAGTCCATCCCGACTCATAGCGACCCTCCAAGACAGAGTAGAGCCACCCCTTTGGGTTTCCAAGACTGGAACTCTTTGTGGGAGGAGAAAGCATCCTTTTCCCCCACGGGGAGTGGCAGGTGGTTTCAAATTCCTGACTTTGGTTAACAGCCCAACGCATAACCCACTGTGCCACCAGGGCTCTTTGTAGGCGACGTAGAGGCAGTGAATTATCTCCAAGTACCATTAACCCAAGTAGCCCTGGTGGCACCGTGGTGAAGAAATCAGCTCATCGTCGCCCAAAGATGCGCAATTCAAGTCCAACAGCCACAAAGATCGGGCAGTCTGCCTTCATTCAGAGGGAAAGCCTAGGACCGTTGATGGAGGTGTCTCTGACCTAAAAGGGGTGCTGTGAGCTGGAATTGATTGGACGGCAACAGTTGGCCAGCATCTATCTGTATTTGAATGAAACGGGGAGGACTGAATATAAAAATAGAGGGGAGAGGGCTCCCTATGAATTTCTTAAGCTAAGTGGTGTTGTTTGTTTGTTTGTTAAACAAGATAGTGACATGTGCTAATACCAAAGGTAAAGAGTCATTCTGAAAACACCAAATACGTCTACACACTAAGTTCAACAGGCCTCTTCACTGCAGAATTCTCAGATCTTTTAGTATGCAGTGATGAATTATAAGCAGCCCAACGGGATACAAAATACAACCTATCCCAATCTCCTTTGTCTCCAGCACCCAACTTTCTCCAAAACTGCCTTTCACTAGTGTTCCCTAGGCCCCTGACGGGGACTTTGTCATAGACCCACCGTCCTTTGTCATAGACCCACTGATTGACATCAATTATATCATTGCCATTTGTTAGGTATTTCATCAGATGCTAGTAAGGGAGGTAATACTGAGCTGAAAGTTAACCAAGAAACAAGGACAACACGCACACAGGAAGCTCAAGGTATGAGTACTCCAGCAGGAGCTATAGTGGTCAGAGAAGGCTGAGAGACTTCAGTCAAGTAGACACACAATTTCAGTAGGCAGAAGAGCAAGGGGCATCCCAGGGAAGGGAAACAGCATAGCCATGGGCATGAGAATGACGGTGTGTCAGGGAAGCAGTGAGCAGATTCGTCTGGTTGGGGTGAAGTGTGCCAATCACAGGTTCATGATGAAGTTGTTGTGATAGACAAGATGAGTTGAGGGCAGTACTTTCTAGAGACCCTTACAGTCCCTTGAAGCAACTCAGGCTACCTGTGAACACAGCAGCCTAGGCCTGACTGTACTTGGGCTGTGCCTCTGACCTACCAAGGCTACGCGATGCTGCAGCAGGGCTGAGTGGGGCAAAGGGTTCATGCTCTACCTGCTTAGGTAAAGAGTCCAATAGAAAACGTGTATCAGGAGCATGGGGTTCCTGGAGAAGAAAGTGGACTTTGGGTCTTCCAGAAACTTGGCTGGTTCCAGTACATAAGGTTGGTTGATAGTCTCAGAATGTGTGCCACTGTTCATCCAGTAGAAGGTGTGCTTGCTATTTCAGAGCCTGGGATCATACTGTAAGGAGTAGTGAATGGAATAAAAAGGTGTCTGGCTTCTTGGTAGGCTGCATCCTTAATTCTATCCCTCTTGTTTATAGTTGGATAAAATTATTGAGTCCAATTATTCTGATGAATCCACTGAACCTGGTAGTCCAGACAAGGTCTTGAAGAGAACTGAATATCTTTACATGTCAATGAAATCCTGGTAAGAAAAATGCATATATGTATATTGTCATCATTATCAGCTAATATAATACAACTTGATGATGAAAGAACTACTGCCAAGTCATTTTAAATAGCTGATATACTAGCGCACAACATTACTACACACCAAGTCTGACACATTATTTAGTCATCTCCAAGCAAGAAAGAGCCCAGTGGTTTCCCCACGGACAGAAAACCATTAGTGATGCCCTCAGGATACTGTCCGTCTCCTGGGGAAGCTCTTTTCTGTTTAGAATTTATGTCTCTCACACTCTTACCTCTGTCTTCCAGGCCCTCTCCATGTAAAGGGCTATTTTGATTCCATATCCATGTTTAGAAGGAAAGCTTATTGGATTTGATTCTTACCATGGCTGTCATTCTAATGCTTGGACATGCTTCAAGACCTTGTTAGCTTGCACATTGCTGTTAGCTACTTCATAATACAGATTTACACACAGGGGAAGTTGTGAGTGGGCACGCTTTGAAAGGTTTGTTTTCACTTTTTAATTTGCTAGTGTTCTCAAAGAGACTTCTGACCAGTCCACCGAGAGCAAAGAGAAATCCCCGGCCCTTCCAGAAGCACAGAAGGAGGGGTTTCAACTACAAGAACAAGGCTCTGGAAATGATGTATGGCTTTCATCCGCCAATTCAGAAGCACAGGCCACAGATGACCAAAGGGAGCCGGTCTCACTCACGCTCGTGCAGTTGTCTATATTAATCAAGTAAAAAAATGTCATTTCTAAAAACATTATGGGCCCTTAGCACAAGGCATGCTTCCTCTTTCACTCAGTACTCAACTTTTAAAGCCTCCCCGCTCAAAAAAAAATCTCAAAAGTTGGCCAAAAAGATGACCAGTTTCCCTCTTGGCTGTGGTCAACAATGAAAAATAGAGCTGAAAGTCAAGTGGACCTGGCATGTAGGCAGCATTTTCAATTAGTTCTTTTTTTAGTTAGTCTTGGTTAGTTTTTGGGGTTCTAAAACTTTGAATTCAATCTGATCCAAGTAGCCCATCTCCCAGACCTCGCTGTGAGCATAATTGTAGGCATGCACATCACTGAGGCTTAGTTAAAGATTAGAAGGGAATGTGTAGGCTTAAAAAGTAATAACAAGAGCATTTGATGAGGTTGTTTGCAATTTTAGCTCTTCTCGGTGTTTTTGTCTGTAAAATCATGCCCAGCAGAGAAGTATACAAATTAACCTGGCATAATGTAAACGGTTTACTCTCTCTGGGGTCCCTTTCCTGTCTTCTACCACCCACTACCACATCTTTAGGAAGGACGACACTAAGAAGTTATTTTCAGTGACTTAAATTTTCAGTTTCTCTAAATGTTTAGGCCAATATTCTAAGTGGAAAATAGAATCTCATATATGTCTGCTCGGAATCCAGGAAGTCACTTCCTGCTTATATACCCAAAAGCATTGGGGTAAGGGCTGAAGCAAATACTTGGACACCAATGTCCATTGGGGCATTATTCACAATAGCCGAAGGTGGAAACAAGCCAAGGGCCCATCAGCGGCTGAATGGTTAAGATGTGACAAAACAGACCACAGGATATGATTTTGCCGTAAGAAGAGATGAATTCTTCGCACATGTATGTCATCAGTGGACTTTGAAGACATGCTGATGAGTGAAAAAGGCCAAACAGGACAGGGCAAACATGGCACGGACCCATGTACGTGAACTATCCGGAACAGACAAACACAGAGACCAAAAGTAGATTACTGGTTACCCCTGGATGCGGGAGTAGGGAGCTATTGCTTAATAGGTACAGAGCCTCTGTTTGGGGTGATGGTAAAGTTTCAGAAACAAACTGATGATTCTACAGAACTATGAGTGGGGTTAATATCACTGAGTACCTTTGGAAATCGTTAATAAGGCAAATTTCATGTTGTCTGTGTTTTACCATAATTTAAGAAGATGAGATTTAAAAAAAAATGAACTCAGAAAGTACAGTTTAGACTTGGGGCCCATTACCTGATGTCACTCCTACAAATGCCTTTTCTTGCAGTAACATCACTGATGAAAGCCAAGTGGAGAAACTGGATGTATTCCTCTCTCCTCCTGACATCACAAATTATTTGGCTTTCATAGAAGCTGCAGGACGGATATGGTAGGTCCGAGTTTGAGTGCTATTGATTCTAGATAAGGTTGAAAGGAAATGAACTCTGTCTTGAACACGCCATTGGGTGACACAGACACTGTCTTGCTGTTGTCACAAAGGCTGCAAATGAAAACCAGAAAGCAAGACTATGGCTCCGTGGGAGGGTTCAGCCAGGAGGGGGTGGGTAGAAGAAGTTCCCAAAGTCTAGGAAGCAGCCAAGTTTTGATATCTTAACCTCAAAGGAGTACAAATGGCCCAAGGAAATCGTCTCCAGTCCACGCACAATGAGTCCTGGGTGAATGAGCAAAGGCAACAAAAATCAAAAGTCTAAAAGGAGAAGTCTTCCTAGGGCCGATGGCTCAGAGAAAAACAGCTAAAATCCTGGATAAGAGGCTCGGATACAAAATATTGTGCAACAGAGATGAATCTTAAAGTAATCCTTGTCTACTTGATTCTATATTCTCCTAAGGAGCTGGAGATCCATTGTGAAGGAGATCACATTTCTAGAGGGAGTCAGTTCTTTCATGTAAATAACAATGGGCTGTGTTACACACCTGTTTTGGTTGTCAGGTGCTGTTATCACAGAAATACCATAAATGGGAGACCTTAACAAACAGAAACTTATTTTCTCCCAGTTTAAGGGACCAGAAATCCAAATCCAGGACTTCAGCTTTGGGGGAAGACGTTCTCTCAGTGTGTTCTAGAAGAAGGCCCTTGAATCTCTGAGCTTCTGCCCTGGGCCATCTTCTCAAGGCTTGTCCTCTCTACCCAGCCATCTCTCCTAGCGAGCTTGTGACTCAAATTATGTTTTACACCATTCCTGCCTAATTAACATAGCAAAGACAACTCGGTCCCAAATGAGATTATAACCACAGGCATAGAAGTTAGAATTTACAACACATATTTCTGGGGTTGGGTGGGGCCAGGGAAGATATAATTTAATCCATAATATAGCCAATCATCTTGTCAATCCTTAGAGGACAGAAAGCACAACCTTCCATTTTCCCAAATTTCTCCCAGTCTAAGGCTCAATCAATAACTGAACCACGCACTGTCCTGTGCCTAAACTTGCCCATTTACTAATTCCTTAATTTATTAAATATCCATGATGTACTTACTTCCAACAAATACATATTGAGTACCCTTGTTGACTTGGACTTACAGAGTTAAGACTTATTTTAAAGAAGAAAAAAAGCATGGCACTGCACCTGAGAGATTTCATGGACTGGTCGAAAAGATGGCCGCACAAGCGAGGAAACATAAAATGCATAATATTTTGAAATACTTACATGAGGGCTTCACACAGTGCACTAGGTGACCAGGGGCAGTGGAGATTAATTGCAGCAGAGAGCGTGGACGGTAGGAGGCTTTTGTACACCCATCTGAGCTGAGCTTTGGAGGTAGGATCAGGCTCCAGAGGGAGTGGTAGAGGTGAGGATATCCTAGCTAGAAAACGGAGGCAGGTGGAGTACACGGTAGCTAAGAAAACTGCTGTCAATAGCAACAGTGGGATGGCATGAGGATCCTGTACGCTGCGGTCTCACACTTGTGTTGTATGATGTATCTCATTGCAGTGTAGCCCAGTGGGTAGGCCCCCCACGCCTGGGGTGCTTGTTTTGCCATGGAGATCACCTTTTGGCTGTGAATGACCTGGAGCCCCAGAGCCTGGAGGAGGTATCCTTGTTTCTCAGTCGGTCCATCCAAAAGGAGGTGAGTCCTACCTTCCAGTCCTGGTCCGGGCAAGTCAGGGCCAGAAGGACAAGTTCAGAGTCTTAGATGGAGTCTGAACAGTGCTCTGAATACAGATGGGACTCCTCTTTGGCCACCAAGGGCAATTATAGAATCCTATCCTAAGATCCTCTCAAAATTCGTTCATGTCACTTAGTGTTTAGAAAGCACACCGGGCAAGGAGATGGACCCCCTGAGTTGAGAACTTCAGAAGCAGCCTGATGTGGGAATAAGATCTTACATGAAAATATGACAAGCTCAGGTCAAGTCTCAGCTGCTTTACCCACTTGGGCTAATACTCGTAGGGGTGATGACAGTAGCTCAAAGCGTTGGAATACTAAGGGAGATAATATAGGCAGCATGATTAAATGATTGCTGTGTTACTTCTACTACTTTGGTCAAGGGATCCTGGACACGTTCCCCTTTCTAAGTTATCAGTTCTCTCAAGGTCATCAGTTGGAACCACCAGCCACTCTGTCGGAGAAGCCACGGCAGCCTGATTCTGTAAAGATTCCCCCCTTGGAGCCCAATGGGCTGTATCACTCTGTCTGACATGGTTGCAATGAGTCAGAATTGACAACAGGAGGTTTGGGTCTGGGTGTCTCTGGCATCACACAGTAACCTCGTGGGTCAGACAAATTGTGCTCGTGCTACCGTGTAACTGGGGAAACCCAGAGAGGATAGGTGAGTCATTTAATATTAATAACCAGTTATTGGCAGAGCAAGGACTAAACCTAATTATCATCCATTCACCATGTATCCGACACCTACTGTATGCTGGGTACCATGGGAGCTTCTCGAGCTGCAAGGGTCGTCTCGGCCTCAGCTCAAGGAGCTCACAAAGTAGCAGGTGAAGGAGGTATGTTAGAAGCTAGCTTCAGACTCACTCTCTTTCATTCACTCACTCATTCTCTCACTCACTCTCATTCACTCACTCAATCACTCACTCTCTCACCCTCTAATTCTCTCACTGTCACTCACTATCACTCACTGTCTCACTGACTCATTCACTCACTCTCTCACTCACTCACTCACACTCACTCACTCACTCTCTCACACCCTCTCATTCACTGACTCCCTCTCTCACTCACTGACTCCCTCTCTCACTCACTAACTCACTCTCTCACTCACTCACTCACTCTCTCACACCCTCTCATTCACTGACTCCCTCTCTCACTCACTGACTCACTCTCTCACTCACTAACTCACTCTCTCACTCACTCACTCACTCTCTCACTCACTCACTCACACTCACTCACTTACTTACTCTCTCACTCACTCACTCTCATTCACTGACTCATTCTCTCACTCACTCACATTCACTGACTCATTCACTCACTCACTCACACTCACTCACTCTCTCTGACTCACTCATTCATTCACTGACTCACTCACTCTCACTCACTGACTCACTCTCTCACTCACTCACTCTCTCACTCACTCACTCTCTCTCATTCACTGACTCACTCACTCACTCTCTCACTCACTCACTCACTCTCTCATTCACTCACTCTCATTCGCTGACTCACTTTCTCACTCACTCTCACTCTCACTCTCACTCACTAACTCACTGACTCATTCACTCATTCACTCTCTCACTTACTCACTCTCTCACTCACTCACTCTCTCACTTACTCTGACTCACTCACTCACTCTCATTCACTCACTCACTCACTCTCATTCACTCTCTCACTCACTCACTCTCACTCACTCTCTCACTCACTCTCACTCACTCACTGACTCATTCTCTCACTTACTCACTCACATTCACTGACTCATTCACTCACTCACTCACACTCACTCACTCTCTCTCTCTGACTCACTGACTCATTCATTCACTGACTCACTCTCTCACTCACTCTCACTCACTGACTCACTCTCTCACTCACTCACTCTCTCACTCTCTCACTCACTCACTCTCTCTCATTCACTGACTCACTCACTCTCTCTCTCACTCACTCTCTCACTCACTCTCTCATTCACTCACTCTCATTCGCTGACTCACTTTCTCACTCACTCTCACTCTCACTCTCACTCTCACTCACTGACTCATTCACTCACTCACTCTCTCACTTACTCACTCTCTCACTCACTTACTCTCACTCACTCACTCTCTCACTTACTCACTCTCTCACTCACTTACTCTCACTCACTCACTCTCTCACTTACTCTGACTCACTCACTCACTCTCATTCACTCACTCACTCACTCTCATTCACTCTCTCACTCACTCACTCACTGTCACTCACTCTCATTCACTGACTCGCTCACTGCTCACTCACTCATTCTTATTCACTGACTCACTCTCACTGACTCACTCTCTCACAAAAAAAAAAAAAAAGCTAGCTTCGGCCCTGCTCATCAGCTACCCAAGTCACCATTGGCTCTTCTTTTCCTGCCTGTAGTTCATCAAAGGATGCTCTTCACAGACAGCTGAATGAAGAGCATGAACGAAGAACAAACACTCCCAAGCATCATCTTTAGTCATCTCCCCTTCTTCTTTCTTGTGTTTCAGAAAGTAAAACTCACCATCGGACGGATCCCAAATTCGGAGAAATTCCATGCGATTGCCTGTATGTGCCCATCAAAATACCAGACTACTGCCCCGTTTCATCTGGATAACCCTGAACTGCAGCGGGCGCCAAAGAGAAGTCCAGCCATCAGAAAGGGCCAGCAGAAAGAAAGTGGAGAATAACAAGCCAGGGATCCGGCACAGCAGAGAAGGAAGGAAGCCCACTCTGTACCAGGCTTGGCCCCTCACTGCCATGTCATACGGGCACACCCCTCTGAATTTCGGCATCTGCATCCTGACAGTGTCCCCTCTCTGATGATATACCTGGGAGATGGAAAGGATGAAATAGGTTTCATGGAACTCTGGAACACAGCGATGGAAACGCTTATTATCTCAAAGACCACAAGCTTAGATGGTTCCTCATCTCGAATCCACAGTGTGTTCTGTTGAGGTTGTGCTGCACACAATTCTTTCTTTGTTCAGGAACCAACAGTTGGCTATACTCATTCCTGGAAGACAGATTCCCAAAAGAGTGTGATATCATCGTGCCCTTCCCAAGAACCTCCTGCCTCCTCACTCCCATGTCCGCAGCGCTAAGACAGAGTAGCCCCTTGGATTCTGTCTTTCGCTTGTTTTTCTTAAGGACCCTTCGTTTACTTTAGAAGTTGAAATAGCTCAAGGTCATGTCTAACAAAGATCTGTGTGCTCCACAAGTCACGAGAGAAGTATTTCGCCCTTCTAAGTTGGAAAGATCTTTAAATTCATTAACAAATAGATCCCAGAAAGCTAATAGAATTTCTCTTTCTTTCTCTCTCTTCTCTCTCTCTTTCTTTCTTTCTTTCTTTCTTTCTTTCTTTCTTTCTTTCTTTCTTTCTTTCTTTCTTTTCCTTCCTAAATAGGAAAACTATGGCAGAAAGCACTCAGATCAGGAAAAGGAGCCCGGTGGTGTAGTGGTTATGAGTTGTAACTGCAAAGTCAACTGCTAACTGCAAGTTCAGCAGTTTGAGCCCACCGGTTGCTGCACAGGAGGAAGATGAGATTTTCAATTCCTGTAAATGGTTAACAGTCTTGAAACCCTACAGGGGCAGTTCTACCCTGTCCTATGGTGTTGCTATGAGTCAGAATTGACTCAATAACAATGTGTTTGGTTTGCTTTAAGATCAGGAAAGGTTAAAGGAAAAGCGGGCTTTGGAAATCATATTTTAGTATGACCTCATTTTGCACAGGAAGAAAGTGAGGCCTTGGAAGATGGATGTCAATGCCTTCTTGGTGACAGCAACTTTCATAATGATTTAGTGGCAGGACCAAGACTCTGAAGCCAGCTCGGAGAAGAAGCTGCCTTGAGCCTCATTCTGTATTTGGATATAGATCTTAAGAACACCTCAGACATAGAAGAAACATTCAAACACTGTGCATTTTCTGTTTTCCAGAAAATGTGTAAGGCAATTCTGATGAGTTCATACACTTGAACACTTCACAGATGTGAAAATATCTTGTATGAACCTTTATGAAGCGATGTGTCCACAGTGTATTAAAAGTCATAGAAGCAGGTGGCAATGCCATAGGTAAATGCATCAGCCCTTTTAAAATGTTTGCCAAAAGAAATTATCGGTGTGTGTGCATATATATGTTACATGATTCCCTCGACTCTGATACCTCATGGAGCTATGAGGTTTGAACAGTGTACACTCAGCACTTAGCAATTGCCTGCCATGTAATAAACCAAAACACAACACAACACAACACACTGCCATCAAGGCAATGCCAACTCATAGCGACTCTATAGGACAGCTAGAACTGCCCCTGTGAGTTTACAAGGCTGTAACTCTTGGCAGGTGTAGAAAGCCCCATCTGTCTGCCGGGGAGCATGTAGTGAGTACTCACTAAAGGTCAGCTATGCTCCTGCTCATGTTAGCTATGTTAGCTGCGCCAAATTCTTCAGAGCAAGCATCTTTGAGAAGTGGGTTGGGGATTGGTCATGGGGGGAGCAATAGTCCTGTAATATTTGGGCTTTGGGGGTTGCTTTGCTTTTGTTTTTTTGATGAGTATATGTCACTTTTATAAAGGAAAATAAGATCGAGTCAGGAAAAGCAATAAAAATTTAAGCTTATTTCTTTAGATTCACAAGTTAGAAACCAAGCCACCTATGTGGGAGAAATAAGAAATGCTCAAGGCGGAAACATCTAGTCACCAGCCATGTAAACAAGTACACTATGCAGAGGCCCAGAGATTTGGGGCATGTTTTGCCTAGAATGCCACACAGCAATGCCAGTGAAGAGGGGTAGAATGAGAGATGTTGAAGCTGAGCCTCCAGGGCCTTCCGTTATCCCACTGAGGCCCGAGGACTTGAATCACCTGGCTCCCAGCAGTGCTGGGAAAGAGTGCAGGAGTCCTCAGGTCCGACTCACACTCTTTCTGGTCCACCCCAATGATAGTAGAGAGCCTGCTCTTGGCCCTCTTTGGATGCCAGAGCTTTCTGCCTGCAGTAGAATCATCTCGGCTGCTTGTTGTGAGATCTTCCTCCCAGGGACTTCTCCCACATCTGGGTTGAATTTCCAAAAGGAAGTCTTGGCAGATTCCAAGTTCCTCTTAACCGAAAGAGGCTGATTCTGTAGGTCTGATGTGGGGTCCTGGAATCTTCATATGAGCAACACCTCTCCATCACCACCCCTGTCTGCTAGGTTGGACCCCAGACTTCTGTTGTGCAGCATCATCTGCGGGTCCCGTGGAGAGGCTCCGGAGTCTTTTGAAAGTCTGAGGAGCACGGAATTTACCCGTGGACATTTTTAAGGGAGGAGAGCCCATAGTTTTCAATAGATCCTGAGAGAGGCCAATGGCTACCCACTGTTTTCTCCAAAAATAGATCATGATCCTAAGGGGAGAAACCTGACCTTCATTCATTGTCCTCTGCAACTTGGGAGAGCACTCTAAAGAGGGAGTGAAAGAACAATTCTAATGTGGTGCCACCGGGCCACCACCCTTAGCTGGTTGAAGGGCAGAAGGTGCTTGGGAGGAGAAAGAGCCTGGGGGGTTGGGCTTCCGAGAAAGATTTCTCTCGGTCTGCGTCTCTTCATCCTAGTTCTAGTTCCTTGTGCCTCACCTTTTTGTGAGCCGAAGGTGGGAGGCTCCCCTTTCCCAAGATTCTAGCCTGACAGCCAGTGGGTCTCCTCACAGTGGTAGTATCCCCAGGGAAAGTTGGGAAATAAGCTGGACCAGAAGCCTGGTAATCACCAGACTGATACCAGATCCCAGCTCTGGGGAGTCCTCGTCTCTGACATTGCTAAGGGGGCTGTAAGACAGCCTACTGCGAGGTGAGGGCAGGCACCAGCCCCTTCTCGGGGTTAATGGAAAGACTTATGCCTCATACATGAGTCATTTCACTACAGGCAGGAAGGTTGGAAGGACCCTTCTTACCCCGCCCACCCATAACCACATCCACAGACCTGCTCATAGTGCATAATGCCACTTGTGACCTTTTCCCTTCAAAAAATGTCCTTGATGTTCAGGCCAGCCCAATTCATATGATGACTGTGGGTGTGGAGGGAGGAGGGTGGGCCAGAGGAGTAGAGAGTGATTGACCCACTTGGCCCTGGCAGGATGACCCTATTTGTGATGAGAATGGATTAGAGCTATTCTTGGCCATCCCATCTTCGACCTGAAGCTGGTGTAGCTCATCAGTGTTGCTGGGGAAGAGCCTGCAGCCCACCACACCAGAGTGGGGAAACCGCACCCGGGCTAGGGGAGCAGGTGATACAGCTTGCTCTAATTGTGGACCCCCAAAAGTAAGAGGCCATGAGAATGGGTCTAAATGGTTTATGAAGAAAGTTCACGAGCTTTAGACCAGGAACTAGGAGAAGAGCAGTGATCTTGGGCGCTCATTTATCCTGGTGGTGATGGTGGTGGTGGTCTCTGCTTGCCTCTTCGTGTGCAAGTTTACTCTGGATAGGCCAGACGGCCAGAAAAGTGATTTGGGGCCACATTCAATTACAAGAAAAATTAGGGACCAACTGTCCGATTGGGTGGTAATAGAGAGATTCAGAAAGGGAGGAGAATGTGGTGGAACGGAGTGCTCGTCATAACTAACATTTACTGAGATCCTTCTATGTGCCAGACACGGTTCCCGACACCGTACTGAGGGTTCAGGTCAGCTCTGCCCATAAGTCTAGGACTATTAATAGCCCCAATTTCCAGGTGGGAAAACAAAAGCAAAAAGGAGTTACAGAATTTGCTCCAGCTATAACTAGAACATGACAAAGTCATCATGTGAACCCAGAAAGACTGGCTCTGGAGACCTGACTCTACACCACATTCGAAAGCTTCTTGAAAGAGGGGCAACTTGAATTCTGGGAGATGACAATCCAACAAGCAGTAGTGGTAGGAACAGGAATGAGTATGTGGTATAGTTCCCAAGTACAATCAAAGGACGTACAGGATGACTCGATTCCTTTCATTCACTGAAGCATTCAATGTAATTTCCATTCATTGTCTGGGCTGCTAGCTTAGGGGACTCACCAACATCCACACAGGATGGCCAGGAACTAGGAGAATTCAATGGGGGCTCCTATGGTGACTGGCTAACTTGTTTTATGTTCCTTCTCCCAGTGTCCATCTGGCTCCATATTAAATTCAAGTTAACAAGAAAGTAGTGGACATTTCCTATGACAAAGGTATTAATTAGTCTCGCCCTCTGCAATGAAGAGGAGTAATGTAGAGTTTTGAGTTTGCAAGAACTCATTATCCCATGGAGGTAATACAAACACCTACATAGATAACTACAAAGCGAGTCGGATTACCCTAAACCTTTTGGTCCAATCTAGTTGGTTTGGGACAAGCTTCTTGGGAGGGGTCATTATTGAGGAACAGTGGTGATTTCACACCTTAAAGAATGTTGATAAGTGAATGAAATATGTTGATGCAATAAATGAATCTTACATGAGTCAGTTTAAACAGCCCATCTTGATTAAAGAGCAGGCCATTGCCCCCATCGCACATTTATCAGCATACAACTGTTAAGGACAAAGAAGTTCTGAAGGGTCCTTTATAATTTATTCACCCTATTCACTTCAGTCTCTTGAATTTTCTCTATCAACACTTTTGAGGATCTCTTGGGTACAGGACATTGTGCTAATAAGCACAGATGATGTTAAAAGGAATAAAGTATGTTCCCTGTCCTCCAAGATGTAACAGCCTAATTAAGGATATGAGCCTAAAAAATTGCTAAGGGATAAAAATCTCCCTCATAGAAATGAAACATATACCCAAATAAAAACTTGCCCAAAAGCGTTCATAGCATCGTCTCTTTGTAATATCCAAGTGGTAAAAACAACTCAAATACCCACTTTTAGACAAAATCCTCCATGCTGTTATTAAGGGCCATCAAGTCAAACCCCATGCACTGCCGAATGGAACATTGTCCAGTCCTGCCCCATTCCCCCATTACCGTGTTTGAAGCCATTTGAGGCCCTTCCTCTCTTTCGTGGCTCCTCCACTTTTCCAAGCATGATGCCGCTCTCCAGAGACTGGTCTCTCCTGAGAACATGTCCAAAGTATGTGAGATGAAGTCACACCATTCTCACTTCCAACGGGCATTCTGGCTGTACTTCCAAGACAGAGTTG